GTCATGGATGCAGATTTACATGCCGATGCCAAAGGCCCGAAAGTCTTCTCCAAGTGCGGACCAAAATTGAAACGCCAACTCCAATACACGTAATGGAATCCTAAACCCATTACCAGCAGCCAACCCCCCCTGCTCTAAACCTTAATACTCTGAACCCCAAGACCTTGAGCCCTAAGCTTCAAACCCCAATACATTCAAAGCCACACCCGCAACTCCGAAACCCTACACCTGAAACCAACCAACTCACCTTCAGGGCTTATTGGGTTGTTTAGGATTTCGGGTGTCGGGTTCCAGGTTTAGCGTTTAGGGTCTTGGGAACGGGTGTTCACAACTCGCTCAGATCCCAAGTGCTGTAGAGTACTGTAGGGGCCTATATAATTACCTGTACTATTGTGGGGGTTCCTTATTGTAGTTATAGTATAATGGGCCCCATAACCCTAGTCTAATTAAGGCTCCTATAGTACAGTACTGCCTGAGCTGATCGTAACTTGAAGCTGCCTCTAAGGCTTAAGCACGAAAAAGAGCAACTCTCAATCATCCTTTAGCCGCCCAAGCCGGTTGAATCCCAATGCTCCGGGACTCCAAAGCCTTTAGGCCCTAAATTACAAGCCGCATGACCCCCAAGTCCAGAGCTCTTGTAGACCTAACCCCCAAAAAAAGCCAAGCCCCAAACCCCATGCCGCCGCTAGAGCAAAACGAACCCCGTTGCCTTGAACCCAAAACCCTGAGTCGCAACACCCTGAACCCTCGTCCCCCCCCCCAAAAAAATACCTTAAACCCTGAACCCCACAACCCCAAAACCTGCAATCGAACCCTAAGCCTGAGCCAAAGTCCCCTGTAAAGCCCTGGTGACGAGGAGGCGGAGGAGGCCCCGGCCGTGGAGGCCGCCCTCAGCCAAGAAGGAAGCAAGGAGGCTTGAGTCGAAGACCGCATGTCGGATGTGAGGTTTTGGATCGATTTGGCTTTGAAGGTTTAGGGTTTTGTGTCGGCTGTGTGTGAGAGAGAGAGAGGGAGAAAGGGAGAGAGAGAGGGAGAGAGAGAGAGAGAGAGAGAGAAGAGAACGAGATCGAGAAAGATAAAGAGAAAGAGACGCAGAAAGAGAAAGAGACCACGAACGCGAAAGAGAAAGACAAAGAGAAACAGAAGGAGAAAGACAAAGAGAAAGATAAGGAGAAAAACAAAGAGAAAGAGAAGGAGAAAGAGAGAGCGAGAGCGAGAGCAAGACCCTGCGAAGCTCCCTTTAAACCAAGCCCCATAGTTCCTGAAAGCTCCTGTAGACCCCTGACGAATAAGCCGCCGTCCTTTGTAGGCCTTAAGGAGGAATCCTTTGTCAGGGAGGAGTCGGGCTCCATTCGCCCTAAACCCCAAACCCCTGAAATCTAAACCCCGTCCCCCCAACATTCAATGACGTGTTTCGGGGTTTCTCGTGCTTTCTTTGGGTGTACGGGGCCAAGGGCCGGGGATTTATGGCTCAGGGGCTGAATGGGGCGTAACATAAGGGCCTGAATGACTAGTGTTCCTCTTCTTATTATTCCTCCGGGTTCCGCACTATTAGGTTATGTATAAGTAGCTACAGTATCACCGCAAACAACTATGCAGTGGTATATACACTTCTCCCCCCCGAAAAGAAGGAAGTCCAAGTGCCAAGGCCCTGCAATTCAAGGTATGGGTGTTGGACCTGGGCACGAAACTGTCGATCTAAAAATATGTATAGTTCTGCGGTGTCCTCAGCCGCTGCCATGTTCAGGATATCCGGTCATCTGGGTTGAGGTCTGGCATTTTCGGAGCAAAGGGTTCATTCGCAAACGCCACTCTCGGGGTTTATTTTTTCGGTGAAGCCTTCAGGGTGTAGTTTCAAATGTTGTGGGGTTGAGGTTCGGTTGCTTCAGTGGTTATTTCCATCAGCAACTCTTGTGTTTCATGTTTTGGGCGTGTCTGGTCTAGTTTTGCTTTTAGGGCCGGCTAAGAGGTCGTGGAGTGCATTGATGACGACGAGGAGGATGTGGAGGACAAGCGGCTTGAAGACTTGCCACGACAAAATACTCCTAGGTCAAACCTTGTTTCAATTATTACAGCCCCTCTAGTCGGGTTTAGAGTTTAGGGTGGGCAGTTTACGTTTTCGGATTTCGGGTAGCTCACTGGCTAACTTTGTGGGGGCGATGAGTACATGGCTACTCCTGCACCAGAGAGGCTTTGGATGTTTCCGGCTGACTAGGTCCTGACGCGAAACCCTGGGATTTTTGGTACATTTCCGGGTTCCTTTCTGGCGGTTCGAGATCTGCAGGTTGCAGAACCAGGGCCTTTGTGATTCTTATTGGGTTTTCGGCATCTCATGTATGAGGGAGCCCGAGAAACCGGTGCCCTCATATGGTAGGTCCCAAGCATGTCGGGAGAAGGTGGACAAGCTGCAGTTTGCGGTTTGTTCTCAGTTGCGACATTGAGATTCATTTACGGTTTGGAGTTTAGAGTTTGCAGTGCTCTGCTTGCCATGTAGATGCCTCTAGAACAAAGCCATCCAGGAACCCTGAACACCCCTCGAGCCCTTAAGACCCTTGTTTTACTCAGCCTTCATGCCCTTATCATGAGAGCTTGGGATAAGTTCCTCCTAGAATCGGCCCATATAAAACCCTCACGGCAGCCCTTGCAGAACTACACACCTTAACACCAGACAAACGCCTATGCCGCTTCTTTGGAGGAGGCGAAGGAAGACGACCAGGGCGAACAAGCCGAAGACGACGAAGAGGAAGCTGAAGACGAGGCTGCGGAAGAGAAGCTGATTACCGATTTGGGTTTTGAGTTTAGGTGCATCAGCAGGATGTTTACAACACAAGCAGCCTGCCAAAAATGTTCGTCGAAGCATGCATGACAAGTTGAATGGAAGACTTACCAGCCCAAAAAGTTTCAAGTGTATACAGTATACAGTAGCATTTTCACACCGATGTAACAACATTACTGCATAGCTGGATTGCTATGCAGTGATGTTATTTACATTGCTGTGAAGAACATTACTCTATAGCAATCCAGCGTCGGATTTAGTTCAGCTCTAAGTGGGCAATTTCGGCACGGGCCTTTTAGGGGATACTTGGGTTCGCTGGCCAGGATCCTACTGTTTTTGGTCCATACTGGGCCTCGCCCACTCAAGCTGCGCAAACTCTGATGTCTTGTCTCCTCATTCTGGGTTTTAGGGAGTTTAGGGGTAATACAGACTTCGGAGTCAATACCACTGGTATCTCCTCGTGCCCCAGTATAGTCTGCACATGATTGTCATTATTGAGTCAATATCCCCCGTACACCCAAACCCCTATTCGAAGGACGTTCCGGAGCACTACATGCAGACAAACCGCCTAGCTCCTTTCAGACATCGCACATAGTTCACTTCGAGTCGTCTTGCATGTTTATCCCAATGTAAGCCCAATGGATCACTCGCAAATCAGAATCTTGTTAGGCTATATAGTCACTTGTAGTCTTGATTGGGCGCCATCTTCAGGACGACGAAGACGAGGAAGAAGAGGATGAAGAGGAAGAGGAGGAAGAGGATCAGGAGGTTGACGCGGTGGCTCCGCCTCGAGCTGCCATGCACCATGACAAGGCCCTTCCTCCGTCGGCCTTTCAAGCCCAACACCATCCTATCCGAAACCCTGAGCCGATCTGCAATGATCTGCCAAGAGGTTTCTTTTGACAAGGCGGCCCTGTAGTATCTAAGGGTCCTGGATAACTCGTAATGCTGTTCTTTATGCTTACGGTTTCCTAGCAG